CTTTTCCCGTTTCTTACGGAGCAAATGTCCCCATTACTAGATTTGATGATGCTCATTTCTGTGTTTATTCGATTGACTTTGATTCCCATCGAAGATTTAAGAATTTCAGCGGCATCTCTATGTTTTTCCATGTAATGTTCGATTACGTTATATCCTATAATCGGTTCATTCATGTCCGGATGTGAGCTAAGTAGGAATGGCACTTCTAGACTATTTTCTAATTTTTCCTCTTTGCTTTTCAATTTGAAGTTAACTTGTACCCATCCTTCATATGGAATTTCGCTGCCATTTGTCGAACGGACTATTAGTTTGCCATCCATCAATTCACACAATGGTCTGATTTCAGTTTCGTTCATCTTTTCTTTCAGCCATTGAACTGGGATGATTGATATCTGTGCTCCCGTGTCCCATAGAAGTCGAAATTCTTTCCCGTTCAAGGAGCAGTCAACCTCGCATTTCGATCCAACTAGTCTTACTAAATTTCTTTTTTGTTTTGATGAAAGCTGGAATACAGTTCCTTTCAATTCACTTACAGACACTTTCCGTATACTCGGATCCTGTCTGTCTTGTTTGTCTTTGGCTCTAAATCTATTTTTACATCCGGCTTTGAAATGTTCGGAACTTCCGCATATCCAACAATGAGAGCATTGTCCTCCATTTCCTGATTGTTGACATTGCGGACATCCTGGTTTTCTCTCTCGTGTGGTCTTGTTTGCCGTATGTTGTTGTTGTTGTTGTTGTTGTTTATAGGCATTTGTGACTAGCTGTCTGATTTCTGCCAATTCCCTTTTAACTTCATCCTTAAAATCTCCGAAAACATCGCTCTCTTCTGTCGCTTCTATCTTGTTTACTTTACCCCTGGACCCTTTACTTTTTGCTAATCTTTCATTCTCTCGTAACACCATCTGATTTAATGACGATATCAAAGTTTCGTCCCGCACATTTTTATCACTCAGAATAGGTCTCATTTCTTGCCTGATGTTGTCACTTTGTATGCCTGTCATAAGACTGTGTAGAAACATAGCTTGAACTAGATCTGGATGATATTGGTGTTCATCCTCAGTTTCATTGGATGCAAACATCACTCTCTGTCTTATATCAAGAGCCCGAAGTAGAAACTCTTGCGGATTTTCTTTTTGCGATTTTGATAAATTGCAGAGTTCTGTATATAACTCTGTCGCTGTCTTTTCGCGATAATGCGCTCTAAGTATTCCCCTCAAGGTTGATAGAGTCAAGTTACTCCTTCCTTCTAAGTAATTACGTAAACTAGACCCTGCAGTGATGGACCGTATTACAACTTGGATTATTTCTCTGTCATCGTATCCTTTTTCCGTTCCTGCCTCTATTTGACGAATTAAACTAGTGAATGAAATGCAAGATTTTGAGTCGCCAATTTGTCCAGAAATCTTGAAATCTTTTCTCCATAATGAGCATTTATCCTTTAATAATGGTGTTATTTCAACGATATTTCGGGATCATCAACCTCTTGTTCCTCGTCTTTAGCTGTTTCTTCTATTCCTTTAGCTACCAGTATTTCAGTTGGTGTTTTACTCCCGATAAGATCATTTATTTGTAATAGGGTCGTGGTGCCTTTATCTTCATCTTTCTGCTTATCTTTCAAAAACTGTGTGATCAACTTTATTGCCTTTACCTTGGTTAATTGAGAAACGTCCTCGGCAGGTATTTCTAGTTCGGTAATTAGGGTCTTCAAAACAACCAACGGTTGAATGTAAATCTTTCCTGTAACCTCCAATCTAAATTCCTCCTCCTTCTCTGTTTCTTTAACCATGCTTGACTTTTGTTTGATCTTTCACTTTGTTGTCATATTTGCAGCCAACATATCCCGGACGAGCCCCCAGAAAATGTTACCCGGGTCTGGTTGGTACCTGGGAAAGAATAAAGAATTATAAATACATTTTCATAATATTTATTTTACATGTGGTATGTCGGCTTATCAGCAATATAATGATAAAGCCCGATGCATCTCGCAGGATACACATGATAGCGTAAACCACCTAAACAACTGTATTGAAATTGTAACTATTATAATATAATAAAAAATAGGGGTCCCTACTTTTTACAAAACTTCACTGTCTCACAATTCGCCCACACAGATGAAAACGGAATTGAAATATTCAGATACAGAAACAAGTTTTGTTAACAATCCCACACCTCAAAATGACCAGATCCGTCATTGTAAATGCAAAAAATGTGAGAAGCAGTCAAAAATCGCTTGACTACGAGTTTTGAAAGAGTTTGTAAATGTGCGTAGAAAGAAATCCAAATTAATATTTTTTTCTGATAACAATATCTTTTACATTTAAAAGGTATAATCATGTTTAGGCTATAATTTTTAGTGAGGAACTTTCAAGAAAGTTTAACTTTGATATATTAATTATAAGAACATTGTTTTAAAATATTAAAATCTTTAATTAATGAGTATATTTTTTTACTTGTACATTTAGTATATAAGGACAGAAAACGCAAATCATATTTTTTTACAAGACCAACAGAAGTCACTTTGCTATTTATCATTTTATTTCATTATTCCTAAAATCCAACGTCGGAGTGGCCATTCCTGCCTATAAAGACAATTGGTGTTACATATTAAAATTTCATGTCCAGACATAATACACACTAGAACAACTCCAACGAATGTTAAATAAGGTTCTATAACAATAACCAGCCAACTATGATAAATTTAAGTAATAAATTGGGTAGGGAGAAAAATACAGATTTTAAAGATAATTTCTTGTTACAACGATCAAATTATACTGAAACAAACTTTTTGCTAGAATTAGAAAAAGCCATGTGTCTGCATTGGCATTTTTTCAAGATAGAATAAGTGTATTTAAAGCAAAAGAACGTTTTAATTTCTACAGTCAACAAAATTATTGACTTTATAAAGCAAATTCGCCTTGTTAGTTCGTTTGTTTATTGATTCTTAAAATACTGACTGCAAACAATTTCCTACTCTGATTGATTCAGTGCTATTTTCATAAAGTGCGTTTAAGGTGGTACATAACACTACAGGGAGATAACTCTGTAAAAATCAGCTGAACGTTTTAATGACGTTCTATTGTTACGGAAATATTAAGCTTATCCATGATCAACATTAGTGTTTGTCAAACTGCTATACATCCAATGAAATTTTTCCGATAAAGTGTGTGGTTTAAATTTTTTGAAATTTTTATATTTTTGTCAAAGGGTCAAAGTAAATATTTTGTAAACATTTTATGAAAATTGAACGAGCCAAATTAATTTTAGTCAAGGTGTTTGGTACCACCTTAAGTGAACTATAGTATAAGAAACACTGAATTCCATTAAGAAATCAAAACACTATAGCTGACAGTACATAAGTTTTATTAAATATTTTCAGGAAATGAGAAAATAGGTAAAGCCAATTTCCCTTATAATTTCATAACTCACAGGGCCCAAATCAGAAAGATGCAACCCTTAATAGAATTTAAAAATTATAGAGAATATATAATGTACTCAAAATATTTGTAACAATGTTTACATACTTTTATAATTTCATCTATGATTAATTCAATTAATTCATATTTCAATAAAATCAGCTCTGTGCACAATCTACTGTTGTTGAGAACGCCGTGGACAAAATTATGCTCCGATGATTCGAACTTCTTTTAGCAAAATTAACCGTTTTACGTTAGGAGTCAACACACAACTTTTGTCTTGTTTTGGTAAAAAATGTGGAACTCATGTATTTTTTTTATATAACTGCCGAAAATCATCAAAATGCAGATATGAGCTATCTGTAAGCATTTATTTTGTAATTAGAAATAAGCTATAGTATTGTTATCACTTCAAAGTACACACAGGAAGCTGGGATACTATACTTATAAGTTAAGATTGAACTTCAATCTCGAGTAAAATAAATGCACGGGGAATTGGCCATATACATTAATACAATGAATTTCACTTTAATACTTAATATGAATACAAAGTGTGTATACATATATGCAACAAACATACGCTTTGGCAAAACCATTTAAGATCTGTTGTGTATGTCTGAGAAAGTTTGAACATTGTTTTGAAATTAGCTGACTAGAGGTTTTTTTTCCTGTTCCTTTTCTCTTTTTAACCTAGTGTCGAAATGTCGATTTCTTCAGCAGAAATACCTAAAACTTACTAAAAAATGAAAACAACACGTTATAAATGTCATGCGTCCGAAGCACTTTACTGGATTTACCTCCTTCACCAGGAACGCTCAAAACCGAATATTTGAAAGCCAAGGATGTATAAGAAATGAAACAAATTTCCTTAATAAACTACAACGATTATTTGAGTTCCAAGATAACCGCCACAATTTCAAGACCGCTTCGAAGAAAGGATGATCTCGTTTACCTCAGGCCATCGGTATGTACACATTTCTGTTGCATTTCCCTCGGCGACTAACATCAAGGATTTTTTTTAATTAGCCACTAAGCTTCATATTAGTAAGCATTACCGTCTGATATTACATATCCGTCATTTATCTGCCTTATGTTTGCCGCATATATGTATGCCTCTTCACATAAATTGATACACATATCAAAAAAATCGTTGCATTTTTTTCAGCAACTGCAAATCAGAGCATCTATATATTTGGTACCAAGCATATCTGTGGTAATCTATACACTGTTGACACTTTTCAGAACCGTTACTGATATACTTCTAGTTTTCCGCCTACATACAGCTTCTTTTACATCGATGCACGAATAAGAAGTTTTCTTCAAATTATTATCAGGAATTTCATGTCATAGCTTTGTATTTTGGTATCAAGCTCCATATGGTAAGCTGGACCGTGAAACACATTTTCAAATCAGTCACTTCAAAGTACTTCATGTTTAATGCATACATGAATGTTCTTCATATAGGGAAAATATCGCTTAGATGTTGTAATCTGCTTTCCGTAATTTTGATCTTGATACTGATCAATATAAATGATATATGATGATGTTTTTTTTTATTATTGATCTCTATTAATTTGATTTTAGTTCATGGTCATGAGTCACCGTGGGGATACCATCATGGCATCGGTAAGTCATGTTAACATTAGAAGTTGTTTGTTTTTATGCCACATTTCTGTTAGAAATTGTGTGTTTAGATCACAGATCATAAACTTAGACAAGAACATTTATGAAACTGTTTTAATGCCAACTACTGCTTCTGTTGTGGTTGATAATGATTAATATCCAGTGGCAAATATTACAAGCATAAATATATCACATATTGTGTATTTCAAGAATTTAGAAAATGTAACGGTAAATTGATTTTTTTGTTAGATCAAGTATAAAAATGTATACGATTAGACTACACATATCTATTTCATCATGATTGTCAGGTTTTTTGAATATCATTTTATTAAATTAAATGGGTGCTTGTAGATTTTCACTTTCAAATTATTGCTTCGCATCACGGTGCGGAGCTATTAGTTTCAGTCGATATACACGCCATCGTGAAACAATGACTTATCACATATAGATTCTGATTGGTTGCTTTATGATGTGACTGAGACACAGCAATAGCTTCTGGCTTAAACGAGATAAAGAATTACAGACTTTTCTCGTCTCAGGATAAGACATCGAATGCCGGAAAATTAGCTATGTGTATTTCAGTTCCGATCAACTGTCATTAATTCATGTTAGTTTTATTATGTATATATTACACACTGAAATTCAATATTGAAATATCAATTATCAATACGTGTTTATTTTTCTTTGTTAATATGCAATATGCACGATTTGTTTTGCTAAACAATGTTCCTATACAATGTTTACAAAAATGCATTATCTGTATTTTAAAACTTCTGCCAATCTAGACACACCTCCAGAGATGCACACCTCCTATTTCCAATACTAAATCAACAACCACATGCACACATACATTGTACTATTACCATAAATTAGGATAGAGCGAAGCAGTCCACAGCTTTTTAGAAAGCTCAAACTTGTTGCAATTACTTCCACAAATCATACCCAGACGCATAGACTATTTCCGGTTTGGAATTATAATAATATAGAATATCAGGCGTGTGTTACCTGTGTTACAACACCTTATAAGTATGCTGTAGTTTCATTGGTTGATATCCAGTTTTATCTTATGAATACCATTCATATTTCACCGCTGCCGGGATATTTGCACTTTTTTTCACCTCTCTGTCGAGGTGTGTTTGCCAAAACATATACGCTTTTTTTTTTATCTTCACGGAGGATCTCGATCATTTGTGGTTTTCATTAAATGCATGTGGTTTTGTTTAGTTTTGATAGCGAATGAATAATGAAATTACATCGAATGTTTAAACCAACCATTCCTAATAAATATTCGCCTTGCAGCTCAGAAAATGTATATAAATTTTGTCTTACATATTTGCATTAAGGCCACAGACTTATTGAATATTCTGCAAACTGTAAATACTTCCAAAATCATGAGCCTCAATATCAGATCGCCATTGATATTCAGATATAAGCAAAAATTTACCAAAATACATTTTATAAAGATGTTAATGTGTGTAAAATATCTTTTTTAGTAAAGCATGCTCTTTATTTTGTATAAATAGTTTGTGTAAAATGGCAATGAATAGTCAAATATATCATTTTCAACATATTTATGACGTAAAACGGTGACATCACACTTAACCTTATCTGCATTATAGCGTCCAGAATATATCAACCGGTTCGTTTATAAATAAGATTAACATAATTTTGAAAGTATTGAAACATTTAACCATGTTTGCGATTTCAGGAGCTAAATAATAAATCTTATCATACATCCTCTATTGCATTTGAAACTTTTAAATTTATCTCCCCTCAATATAGGTGGCGCGCTGTTGTTATAGTAACAAGATGGCAGCCCACTACGAAAACGTGAAATTATTTATGCGCATATGCGAAAGAGAGAAAATAAAAAGTGATTGATTGTGGATTCAATAATGGATTGCTTTTTGTATTGAATTATCTAATGTTATGAGGTTTTTTCCTCTATAATAGTTACATTCCAACTGATTGAAATTAAACCTGCAATTCTTAATAATTTCTTAATTTATTTACTGAAGAAATGTGTTATATATCAAAGTACTGTAACTTAATGTGAAAAATATTAAATCACACGGTCATGAAGTTTGTTTTATAAATAACGCATACAAGATTTTCTGCTAAACGAATTAAGACCAACAGGATATTTCTGTACATAACCAAAAATTAAACCACAACATGATTTATTAAACTTATTTTCTTTACCTTTGAGCGCATTTACATAAAATCTTAATTATTGTTGTTGTTTCACTGAAGCCATATCTTTTATGTTAGTCATTGCTTCTCATGTTTATATATAGCTTTCAAGATATATTTCCCAATCTTATATAAATATAAAATATAAATCGAAAATGATTACATTGAACTAATTTGTTGTTATTTAGGTATACAGTTTGTTACATCATATTGAGACATGCATAATACAAAACGTATACGCAATATCAAAATGAATAAATTCATATTAAATTATAACGATTTAATAATTAAGTTAAACAATTGTACACAGTTTCAAAAAAAAAACATATACGAGTTTTGCCTATTGCCATATAGTCATCCTCTAACCAAGCGAAATTTTCTTCAAAGATAGTTGTGTCGATATCATGATTCAATATTCGATGTTGGATATCAATAAAGTTGTTATATACTTGACCGTCTTATAAAATGTAACGCGATAATACCTTTGAAAATCTTTAATTTATGTTTTCTCGTGATCACACAAAGAAAAGAAAAAAAAAGTTTATTAAATATGGTAACGGCATGGAACATTAATTTATTTTTTTGTAGAAATTAAAGAGGAATTTTCAGCACTGTACATAGACACAATATCCATTGAGCTTTAAAAAAAGTTCATCGTTCATTGAAAGTAAACTATCTGATTAAGTGATCAATGCATCAAGTCTACATTCTTGGCCGATCATACATTCACCAGATTTAAAGAATTTCTGTTGCTCGTCAAAGGTGGTTAAGTTTCAAAGGGGAATAAGAACCCATACGTTGAAGAGAAAGAGATATCACCATTATCAAAACAAAAAACTACAAAATGAAAAACATAATTCCAAAAAATACAACACACAAACTAAAACATTGAGCAACACGAGCGCCACCCAAAACTGGTGTTTACTCGGATGTTCATGAAGGGTTTCGATTTACAGATGATTGAAATGGACTTATCGTTGTTCGTTGCTTGTCAATCAATTAAATCAATCAAATCGAAACTTGTATTCAAGGGAACGATTAGCGAATGTTACAATAATGTATACTGATATAAAAATCAGATAATGAGATGTCGGTAGTAATATTAATTAAATGAAATTGTCTAGCTATTGTTTTTAACAGCGATGAATGGTATTTTGCTTACTTTAAGTTGTGCTATTGATTCAATTTGTTATCGCCGCAACATTCCACTTCAATTAATAATGCGGTCAATATTTTGCCTGAAAAAATGTTGTATTTAGCATCGGACGCACGCAATTACTGTAAATCAACTTATTTTCGCGGGTACTTTATTTCGCGATGAGCCCTTTACAGCAAACTACGCGGCAATTTATTGTCACAGTTTTCAAACTTTCTTGATGTATTTTTATAATGGAAAGACCTAAGTGTTACATATTCGCGACGATGTAAATTTTGGTTATTTTTTCTACTCGCGATATCGCGAAATTGGTTGGTTTACAGTTTTATATTGTTATTTTTCTGTATTTATCATTGTATTTATCATTCATTTGCAAATAACTGACATTTATTATGTTTTATAACAGTCAAAATCTTCGTTTTTTGTTTTGTTTTTAATTAGACCCAGAGCATTGGAAGATCAAAGACTCGACATGTGATGGAAAGCAACAGTCTCCAATAGATATTAAGACAGATAATGTCAAGTTTGACCCAAGACTACGAAAATTCAATTTTACCGACCTCTTATTGCATAGAGATGTTAAAGTGAAAATTCACAACAACGGACATACTGGTACGTATTTAAAAAAAAAATAAACTGTTGCCTAATTTATATATCCTAAATATTTACATCAATTCATGATTTTAAAATGTTATTGAGCATTATGCATTGCCGTTGAAGATATGGTAGAAAACATATTGTAATTCGCATGTTTTTTTTTTAATTGTACATCGACAACCAAAATGAACTAATTTTTATCTGAAAGCCGATACCAAGATTTAACTTGACTGCCGATGATATGGTCCTTATCCATTTTTTAAGATTAATACACAAAATAACAAACTCTATCAAAATTGCTGATTTGCGCCATATTTAAGCTTAAATTGTCAAACATCGACTCGATTTTTTTTCAGCGTCAAAGTACACACATCCATCCCTTATACTGTAAATTTAAGATTAAAAAAGAATTGAAATTATTATACTTCATGTCAAAATGCCAGATTTTGATTGGTTAATACGAGGGAGACAATTTACTCTATTCTATGGTAAATACTGTATTACCCTTCATGGAGATGCTTGATCAAGTGTGCGATTTATTAAATACGACTCTATCCTACGGCAAATACTCTATTACCCTTCACGGAGACGCTTGATCAAGTGTGCGCTTTATCAAATACGGATGGTTGTTATGTACAAGACGTCAAACGGTTTATTACTTTGAATTTGAAATTTAATCGACAGTAATAACAGAACATTCAGTATAACAAATTAAATAACACATATCTGAGAGGGTGATAGAGCAGATTGCTACCCCTCGAAAAGACATTGTCAACCTTGGCTTCGCCTCAGTTGACAATGTTTTGTCGGGGTAACAATCTGCTCTATCACCCTCTCAGCTATGTGTATATTATATAATGATCCCCGTTAGAAATGTTAGAATTCGTCTTATAAAATGATGATGATGATGATGATGATGATGATGATGATGATGATGATGATGATGGCTGAATTAATATGCATATTCAGGACGAGAATATGTTAATGTAATATGAATATTAACCCTGCTTTGTACTCAACCGACACGCTGAGCCGGATTTTTAACGTGCTAGTTCACAAGGTAACAGTCCACAGGAAGACATGTCACCTTACCTGGACACATTATTCTGACTCCTAGCCGACCAGTTTTTGTTTTTACTCCTTAATGCCGCGGGCTTAGCGGGGAAGCAGCAAATACCAATTTAAAAATCTTTGGATTGACCCATCTTGGGTTCGAACCCACGACCTCCCGCACTGGAGGCGAATACGCTACAACGAGACCACCGATTTCGTTTTATAGGAATAGCGTTACCAGATATTGTTTTACTTTGTATTCTGAAAATAAAAATTAGAAGATTGACTATTCACCAAAAACCAAAGGACAAAGTATTATCTGTATTGTTCCACATACGAATAGCTATGTGCCACGGTATATTTAGGAAGCGAATAGTTGAACAAATAGCTATAGAGTAACACAAGAAAAAAAAACCTGCATGTGCTTATTATCTCCTTGTGTGTTTCATTCGAACGAGTGATGAGGTCAAAACGTTTATAACTTCACAATTGCAGCTTTATTAAACAGTTTAAATTTCGCTCTCCGAAAGGTTCATAGGAAATTTCCAACAATTTTGAAGGGGGAATTAAAAGCATGTTTTTGAGTGATATCAAAGGTATTTCACATTTCTACTCAAAATGATATGCATGAAATAATACTTAACATGGAGATATATAGCACCTTAAAATTTTTCCGTTTTTAAATTTAGAAATTATAAAGCAACAAAGATTTCAACTCTCCCAGGCAAAATTTACCGTCGATAGATTTTGCTGGTTAATTTAGGTCCTTTTTGGTCATATAGCCCTTCAATTGTTTCGGTTTTTATACATCATTGGCTTTCAAATATCCGGTTTTGAACGTTCCTGATGGAGGTAAATCTAGAAAAGCGTTTAGAGTGCATGCAATTTATAAAGTGTTGTTTTCATATTTTTAAAAATGAAACAAATCTAGAATCAGACATTTAATTGTCCAAAAGTCTATTAAACGAACATAATATATTAACAAGAATGCACACGTAGAAATGTCACGCCTGCTTTACCGTTTATAATTGAATCTTTCAGAAAACTCTATTTAAAAAAAAGACGCTTTCTTCATTATCAATGGTCCATGATGGTGAGGTCAAATTCATAAATGTATAACTTACAATCATTCTGTACAACAAATACAGTTGGCCTATAAATCATAGTCAAAAAGAGGAGAAAGATACCAAAGGGACATTCAAATTCATAATTCGAAAATAAACTGACAACGCCATGGCAATAAAAGAAAAAGACCAAAAGACAAACAACAGTATACAAAATATAACATAGAAACTAATGACTGAGCAACACGAACCCCATCAAAAACTGGGGGTGATCTCCGGAAGGGTAAGGATATTTTGCCTCATATGTGTAACTTAGAATTTGTAGTCGCTTTAAAAAAAACACTGGAATTAATCAAAGAACCCAGAAAGAAGATCGAAATTATATGAACACTCTCGGTTGGATTGATTCATATGATGAAGACAGTTTAATTGAGGTCTGGAGCTGGCATGTCAGTAACTGCTAGTAGTCCTTTGTTAATCTATGTTGATCTTTGTCATTTTGCTTAGTTTCTTCTGTTATCTCTTCTACCATCGGATTCGGACTTCTTTTAAACTGAATTTTACTGTGCGTTTTGCTGTGTGTTTTTTATTTTACATTGGCTAGAGGTATAGAAGAGGGTTGAGATCGCGACGCATGTTTGCGCCTGTCTCAAGTCAGGAACCTCTAGCCTTTGTTAGTCTAGAGTGCTGTTTTTTAAAGTTTGGTTCATTTGTATGTTTTGGAGTTTAGTGTGGCTTCCATTTCGCTGAACTAGTAAACGTTATTGTAACGGGGCCGGCTGAAGCCCGCATCCGGGTGCGAGTTTTTCTCACTGCCTTGACAACCCATTGGTGGCCTAGAGCTGTTTTCTGCTCTTTGGTCGGTTTGTTGTCTCTTTGACACATTCCGGTTTCCATTCTCTATTCTATGAACACCTTACAATCATTATTGAAACAAAATATAGTAACTTATTATGTCTGAAAAACTGACATAATCAAAAACACTCAACGTTGACGAAAGAAAAATGGTTAGGATGTCAAGGTAAGATGAACCTTGCCACACATGTTCACCATACAACCATTCTACATATCAAATTTAGTTGACCTATTTCTTTTAAAGTGACGAAAGACTCACACAAACGCTACGCTGACCGATGAATCTAGAGAAAGGTCAAGGGCAGTTATCCAAGTCGGACGAAATTATTCTATACATCAAATCACTTATCGTATCCGAGAAACTGGACACATCTCGAAAAAGAACGTTGATCAATAATGAACCAATAAAGAGGGTTCAAGGGCAACTTAAACTTTTTGTGACGGACATGTTTATGCACACTAAATGTATAACTGATATAATCATGAAACATTTATACGTTCATCAATGAACCATGAACATGAAATGAAGGTCAGATGAACACTTTTAGATAGAGATGTACATCCTACAAAGGTCCTTTTTGCCTATATTTGATCTGATAAACTGACCTTATCGCAAAAAATTACCATTGACCATTAAAGTGAGGTCATGACAGCTGGTCTCTCGCAGGTGGTAATGTGCACCTTAAATTGATTCTATTTTTGCCAAATATAGTTGACCTGTAATGATTACTAACACTTATAGTTGACTTATAACTATTATTTTACAGTAACTGTAAAAGATCATGTGAAAAACCTATACAGTTTAATGCGGTCATTGAACTATGAAAACAAGGCCAAAGACAACGGGTATACGCAGGACGGAAACGTGAGATCATAAGGCATCTACAAATAAGATATTGCTTCTCTTGATCTAAATACCATTTGAAATGTTTTGTTTATATAAAACGCTAACAACGCCGCTGTCGCATTTTGGTAAGCATCCCCTTGTCTCGAATGTTGCAGGCGAGACTTTATTGGCTTACAGAGATTTGATAGTCTGTGTATAATTTAAGCATAAGTACGCTGATGAAAATCGTCGCGAATTTGTAAAAAAAACGGATCCCCCTTTTATAAATACATCATGGAAATTAGAAGATCGTGAAATCGGCTAGAAATGGCTCTGCGCGAAATAAAATATCCACAGATAAGCTGGTTTTCCATAATATGATAAACATTTCAGTACAAGTTGACATGGAGGATCATACTATAAAGGTGACAGGGGGTGGATTGCCGGGAACGTATATTGTGGATCAGTTTCATTTCCACTGGGGATCAGTTGATACCAGAGGATCAGAGCATGAAATTAATGGAAAACATTTCGCAATGGAAGTGAGTAACAACCTCTAGATCAATTTTTTTTTCAATTTTGATTTGCAATTAAAATTTGGACAACATTTCCTTTAAAAAGTTTACATTTTATCAAATGTAGACCAAGGCTAGATAAATTTGTATATATATTCAACATATATGTCAAAACTTGCAATCGCTGGGTAACAAAAAACGGTTTCTAGATAATTGGGCCAAGGGTCAATCGAAAAATTTATATTTGATGCGAGTGTTACCTACATATATTGTCAAAAAGCTTTGAATTCACTTTTGCTTCAGACATTTAAAAATGGATTAAAATTATCAAACGACAATTTTGAATTCATTTGATGAGTACTTATTTACAAAGACACATCCACGTCAAATAAGTTGACAATATTGAAACATAAAGTTTTAGCATTCGTGTTTCTGTCAATGTTTTCTTACTCCATAAAACTGTCAACCAGTAGTAGCACTGAATCAGTAACAGTTATAATAAAGGTATAAGGTTTAGATGGAGGTCTTAATTTCTGTTATCTATAATTTTGTGAGCCATTTTCTCTATCGTCGATTTTTGCGTATAATTTTTTATTCTTTTTAATATTTTCTCTATTCTCTATCTAGTTTGCCCATGATTTTCAGCCTATTTAGTCTATTCTGTAAACCCCTTCCTGGTCTTCAATTGCTGCCAATTTCAATGCACACAAGTGTTTATTAAATAAGTTTAATCTGGTACGAACCACACAAAAAATGGAAAATCTTGAAACGCCTGTGAGCATCAACACTAAAATAAACCTAGATGCAAATTTCAATAGTACTCTCGTAAAACGAAAGGGTCTACAACAATGGCATCCATTAGGTAACTCTCATATATAGATGTCGGACTTCAAAAGTATTGATATGAATTTGAACATACACGACAAAGGTTAGAAGATGTCATTGGGCTATCAAAACAATAAGTCGAATTATTATCATCTATGTACACAGTTTTCTACTTTCAAATGCATTTTGTAATGCACTCTGACAGATTCTCCAACGTCACTGATGCTCTGAACAGTACATGTGGTCTGGCTGTCTTATGCCTCCTGGTTTTGATGCATTTCTGACACAAAAAAAGGTTTGATGATGCCGATGGGTATTAAAAACTATTTTTGTCGAAATATTAACAGCTATTTACACTATTTTCTACTTTTAGATGCATGTTGTAATGCATTCTGACAGATTCTCCAAATTCAATGATGCTTGGAACAGTACACGTGGTCTGGCTGTCTTGGGCTTCCTGGTTGATGTAAGTTTAAGTAAACGTCTGAAATGAACACCATAATTAAAACAAATCAGTCACTGCGTATTAAAATGTGTTAACGACATAAGGTGAGACATACGGTGAGACAGAAGGTATGTTACTCCTGAGAAATTGAAAAATTGATGTGCTAGTTCTCAAAAAATAGTCCACACGAGGAACAACAACTACGGACACGTCATTCTAACAACAAGCCGACAATTTTTGCTCCCACTCTTGCATATCAAGTGCTACCATATAAGCAAGAAATAACTATTATTAAAAGATTGGGTTGAACCGGCCGGGAAATGAACCCAAATTTCCTGCCCTCAATGTTATTACGCTAGTACAGGATCACAGAGACAGTTTCAAAAACCGATTTTGGAAAGAGTTAGCCACATGTGAATCTTTCAGTAGAGTTTTATAGTCCGTTATAAAAATAATTTAGTTTTAAGTGATAGTAGGTGTAATACCACCATTGATTTTCCCCTATTAGTCTTTGTTAAATTTGCACTTTTCAAAAAATTGTGCAGAATTTATCTTTGTTTCAAATAAAGAAATACTTGGCATGAGTAAAGTTTGATCCTGTCCAGTACTATAGAAAAAATTTCACATAACATTTCATTGCATATAAGAAAATAACCATCACTGGAAGTTAACCAATCAAATTTTCCCCCTTTTTTAACCTGTGTATAAGCTTTAGTAACCATGTAACCTCAAGTTTCCAAAATATTCTATAGAAACCCCAAATAAAAAAATAATGGTGCTTTGAAATACCCAAGATATATGTTTATGACCCAGAAATGTTTTACTGCAATGAAATGTAGGATCAATTACCTACAACTGTCAAATTCAAGGGAATATTTTTTTCCGACCTATTTTCGTATGCAACCGGATGTGACGTACTATGATTTGGTAGTATTACACCTAAAGAAGACTTTTTTGTTAAATAAACTGAATGTGACTTTTTTCCTTTGTAATACTGGTTATTTCAAGCATTCCTGTCAAGTTTTGTCATAATCAGTTCAATAGTTTGAGAAAAATCTAGTATAATGTAAGACGACATCTACAGCGATTCGAGCTAAATTTCTTCGAAAAATCCAAACCAAGCCGCATCATGATATAATATAGTGTGGACCAATAAATGATCAAATATTTATCTCATCTGCCTACAAACAGTTGAATATGATACAAAAGATGACTTTAGGATGATAAATACTACTAATGGACCTCTTTGTCTTCCTTATAAGGTCTCTTTTGGTCCATTTATACCTCTCATTTCCTCAAAATTTCTACTTTATAGGCCAATAAATAAAAAAATTGGGTTAACTTTCACTCATTTATGATAGAAATGTTATTATAAATGATTAATTGAAGTATTCAAGCTGAATGAACTATCCGTATAAAAGTTTACTGTCTCCAAGGAGGTTTCAATAAGTCCTTACGTAAAACTTAAATTTACGCCGCGTTCCAGAGAGCGACATAAAAAGCTTCTCTTTTGGTGAATAATTTGTTGTTACTGCTTTAAAAATAGTTTCATTTACTTAAAACTATATATTTATTAAAGTATTTCTTAGGAAAAATTTTCTAGTATAGCAGAATATAAGAAAAAAGGAGAAAAAGCTCCCCAAAACTCTAAGTATGGCTTATTCTGTCAACTAATATTCATGGTAAAGTCCTATTTCAAGGAAATTTTCTCATAAAATGTGTTTTGGAGACTCAATCCACTCAGAATATTTCATTATTAGTAATATTTCACTTAAATAGCAAGAAATTTTAACACATGAGAGTACTCACAAGGTCAAAGGTGCATGTACAGCTTCCCATAATAGGTGTAATACCACCATTGATTTTCCCCTATTAGTCTTTGTTAAATTTGCACTTTTCAAAAAATTGTGCAGAATTTATCTTTGTTTCAAATAAAGAAATACTTGGCATGAGTAAAGTTTGATCCTGTCCAGTACTATAGAAAAAATTTCACATAACATTTCATTGCATATAAGAAAATAACCATCACTGGAAGTTAACCAATCAAATTTTCCCCCTTTTTTAACCTGTGTATAAGCTTTAGTAACCATGTAACCTCAAGTTTCCAAAATATTCTATAGAAACCCCAAATAAAAAAATTATGGTGCTTTGAAATACCCAAGATATATGTTTATGACCCAGAAATGTTTTACTGCAATGAAATGTAGGATCAATTACCTACAACTGTCAAATTCAAGGGAATATTTTTTTCCGACCTATTTTCGTATGCAACCGGATGTGACGTACTATGATTTGGTGGTATTACACCTAAAGAAGACTTTTTTGTTAAATAAACTGAATGTGACTTTTTTCCTTTGTAATACTGGTTATTTCAAGCATTCCTGTCAAGTTTTGTCATAATCAGTTCAATAGTTTGAGAAAAATCTAGTATAATGTAAGACGACATCTACAGCGATTCGAGCTAAATTTCTTCGAAAAATCCAAACCAAGCCGCATCATGATATAATATAGTGTGGACCAATAAATGATCAAATATTTATCTCATCTGCCTACAAACAGTTGAATATGATACAAAAGATGACTTTAGGATGATAAATACTACTAATGGACCTCTTTGTCTTCCTTATAAGGTCTCTTTTGGTCCATTTATACCTCTCATTTCCTCAAAATTTCTACTTTATAGGCCAATAAATAAAAAAATTGGGTTAACTTTCACTCATTTATGATAGAAATGTTATTATAAATGATTAATTGAAGTATTCAAGCTGAATGAACTATCCGTATAAAAGTTTACTGTCTCCAAGGAGGTTTCAATAAGTCCTTACGTAAAACTTAAATTTACGCCGCGTTCCAGAGAGCGACATAAAAAGCTTCTCTTTTGGTGAATAATTTGTTGTTACTGCTTTAAAAATAGTTTCATTTACTTAAAACTATATATTTATTAAAGTATTTCTTAGGAAAAATTTTCTAGTATAGCAGAATATAAGAAAAAAGGAGAAAAAGCTCCCCAAAACTCTAAGTATGGCTTATTCTGTCAACTAATATTCATGGTAAAGTCCTATTTCAAGGAAATTTTCTCATAAAATGTGTTTTGGAGACTCAATCCACTCAGAATATTTCATTATTAGTAATATTTCACTTAAATAGCAAGAAATTTTAACACATGAGAGTACTCACAAGGTCAAAGGTGCATGTACAGCTTCCCATAATAGGTGTAATACCACCATTGATTTTCCCCTATTAGTCTTTGTTAAATTTGCACTTTTCAAAAAATTGTGCAGAATTTATCTTTGTTTCAAATAAAGAAATACTTGGCATGAGTAAAGTTTGATCCTGTCCAGTACTATAGAAAAAATTTCACATAACATTTCATTGCATATAAGAAAATAACCATCACTGGAAGTTAACCAATCAAATTTTCCCCCTTTTTTAACCTGTGTATAAGCTTTAGTAACCATGTAACCTCAAGTTTCCAAAATATTCTATAGAAACCCCAAATAAAAAAATAATGGTGCTTTGAAATACCCAAGATATATGTTTATGACCCAGAAATGTTTTACTGCAATGAAATGTAGGATCAATTACCTACAACTGTCAAATTCAAGGGAATATTTTTTTCCGACCTATTTTCGTATGCAACCGGATGTGACGTACTATGATTTGGTGGTATTACACCTAAAGAAGACTTTTTTGTTAAATAAACTGAATGTGACTTTTTTCCTTTGTAATACTGGTTATTTCAAGCATTCCTGTCAAGTTTTGTCATAATCAGTTCAATAGTTTGAGAAAAATCTAGTATAATGTAAGACGACATCTACAGCGATTCGAGCTAAATTTCTTCGAAAAATCCAAACCAAGCCGCATCATGATATAATATAGTGTGGACCAATAAATGATCAAATATTTATCTCATCTGCCTACAAACAGTTGAATATGATACAAAAGATGACTTTAGGATGATAAATACTACTAATGGACCTCTTTGTCTTCCTTATAAGGTCTCTTTTGGTCCATTTATACCTCTCATTTCCTCAAAATTTCTACTTTATAGGCCAATAAATAAAAAAATTGGGTTAACTTTCACTCATTTATGATAGAAATGTTATTATAAATGATTAATTGAAGTATTCAAGCTGAATGAACTATCCGTATAAAAGTTTACTGTCTCCAAGGAGGTTTCAATAAGTCCTTACGTAAAACTTAAATTTACGCCGCGTTCCAGAGAGCGACATAAAAAGCTTCTCTTTTGGTGAATAATTTGTTGTTACTGCTTTAAAAATAGTTTCATTTACTTAAAACTATATATTTATTAAAGTATTTCTTAGGAAAAATTTTCTAGTATAGCAGAATATAAGAAAAAAGGAGAAAAAGCTCCCCAAAACTCTAAGTATGGCTTATTCTGTCAACTAATATTCATGGTAAAGTCCTATTTCAAGGAAATTTTCTCATAAAATGTGTTTTGGAGACTCAATCCACTCAGAATATTTCATTATTAGTAATATTTCACTTAAATAGCAAGAAATTTTAACACATGAGAGTACTCACAAGGTCAAAGGTGCATGTACAGCTTCCCATAATAGGTGTAATACCACCATTGATTTTCCCCTATTAGTCTTTGTTAAATTTGCACTTTTCAAAAAATTGTGCAGAATTTATCTTTGTTTCAAATAAAGAAATACTTGGCATGAGTAAAGTTTGATCCTGTCCAGTACTATAGAAAAAATTTCACATAACATTTCATTGCATATAAGAAAATAACCATCACTGGAAGTTAACCAATCAAATTTTCCCCCTTTTTTAACCTGTGTATAAGCTTTAGTAACCATGTAACCTCAAGTTTCCAAAATATTCTATAGAAACCCCAAATAAAAAAATAATGGTGCTTTGAAATACCCAAGATATATGTTTATGACCCAGAAATGTTTTACTGCAATGAAATGTAGGATCAATTACCTACAACTGTCAAATTCAAGGGAATATTTTTTTCCGACCTATTTTCGTATGCAACCGGATGTGACGTACTATGATTTGGTGGTATTACACCTAGTAGTTTGTTTACTTTGTTTTTCATCTGGTTTTCTTTTATTTAAAATTTCTATCATGTTCAAAAACTAAAATAAGGATGTCGTTGAGTACACTTTCTTTTAATCACTTTGTTGTTCCAGGTTGGTCGAGAACATCCATATTTTGAAAAGATCATCAGTCATTTAAAGGAAATTAAGGATAGAGGTAATTTGAACATATCAATAAAAGTATTTTATAATGCATTATATGAACATATTTGTTTCGTAATTAATAATTAGTCACGCTTGAGATGCCTTAAGAGGACATTAATATGGAAAGCCGTAGAGGAATTAATTAAGATGTGACGATATTCCTGACTTGCGACAGGCACACGAAAATGGATGGGTGTTAAAAACGTTTTTGGAGACCTCAGCTCTGTAGAAAACACATTCCTTGGTAGATTTACAAGAAACCATTTTGCTTGGTTTCCACTAGATCCTCTTAGATTTCGAATAGCATGCAATTTTAACAAAGACGAAGAACGGTTTTTTTTGTTATACACGCATTTCAATACCAAGCATTGCAATTTAAGCCAAAAAAGAGTGCTTAAAGATTTTTAGTTGGATGAGGCTTATTTCACCAAGAAAAAACCAAATGTACTGCCTCAAGTTATCAAATACGCTAATCAGGGAACATGTTGGGTCATATGTTAAATGTTGTTCTTTTCTAAACCCACGTTTGATTTCATAATGCGATGAATTTTGTTTCTTAATTGCCTCTTATGATGAGAGTGCCACGTGTGTAGCAGATATATGCTCTCCAGCATCATTCGATCAGATTTGCACCGATTTTTTGAAGCCGACGCTGAGGCTAAAATCAAATCTTGAAAATGTTTACTTTTTTTCCATATCTTCGGGCAGTATGAAAGAGTTGTAGTTATGATTTATATCATTCATTAACATATACCCGGTATTTACGTACAAAATAGAAGGTAAATATGGATTTCATCAATGTAAGCAGTTGATTATGATAATTATCCACTCTAGATAGTTATATTTTCAAAAAGTAAAATTAGACATATTTTGAAAGGATGTTAATGACCCTAGTAAAAATAAACCCACATCTTATTTGTTAAGAGTAAGCTCGATCACTGGGAATCAATGGTGAGATTTATGTTCCCCATGCTATCAAATGTTTCTACATATTTCATGCTGCAATCTATATTGGTTCCTTTTTCGTCTAATCCTTCCGCCTATCTTTTTCTTACATCATAATTTCATATTATCTTTTCATGGTTATTGCTTCGATATAATATTTATGTGTTATTGCGGAATAAAGCATCAACTAACCAATTAAACAAACAATCAATCAAGAGTTTAGTAATACAAAATATATAGTAAAATGGTAGCATCTGTATAATACTGTAATAGATGTTGGAAGGAAAGGAATATTCGAAGCATAGTTGACATATTCCCTGCGTGTTTACTAAAAAAATTATCCAACCTGTTACACTAAAAAAAACGTATGTATTTATATTTTTTGAAACAGACGTCACTCTGGACAAATTCCATTTGGAATCGCTGTTTCCACGAACAGACTGCTACTACAGGTACTATGGAAGTCTGACAACACCCCCCTGCTATGAAAGCGTTATCTGGACAATATTTAAAGAACACATCTATCTTTCTAAGAGGCAGGTTTGTAGTTTTTTTTGTTGCTAGCATTTGAATAAAAGATGTAGGTTATACATTAATTGGACTGCAAAAAAACATAAACACAAATAATCTGAAGACAAATAGAGGGACACATACAGTTTTCAACAAAAGACATGATACTCTACAATATGGGAAGCTCTAACTCGCCATGGTTAATAAAAAGATGTAAAAAAATCCGCAAAAAATTAGCAAGGATCTGCCATCAACACCAAATTCTTCAAATGAGAAAAACACAGAGAAATAAAAAAAAAAACCAAAAGCACATCTTTATTTATCTGACATACATCACACACTGATTAGGTTCTTGAATTCGTAAAGGCTCAATGAATGCCCATTTCCCATGTTATAACAGGAGACCTTAACATCGTTCGCGACCGAGAGTTAAAATCATTCCTCAGTAAAGGACCTAAATATCGTCCCCCGTCAATTATTAATTGGAATGAGTGTCGTAATATCATCCACGACTCATTCGTGCTTACTGTTTGAAATGGATAAAACGGGAAAAAGCTGACAAAAAATCTTTTGACTCTTTTTTTAATTCAGTAATGAAGATAGTTGATATACGTTTACAACATTTTAAAGAACATTTTACTCTTAATAACAACCATAAAAATCCTATTTCTCGTATCCAACATAAACTAAAAGAACTAGCCAAGGAATTTGTTTTTGTCCCGGCTGATAAAGCTGCTAATAATATCATTATAGTTTGACGTAAATTTTACATTGAGGTTCTGCAAAAGGAAATCACGAATTCACCAACATTCCAAATGACTTCATTTTCAGAAAACGATATCTGTAACAAACACAAACTGTTAGCTACTTCTTTACATGCAGAACCGAATACAATGAAAGTCCCAACTTTGTACTGGCTTCCGAAGCTACACAAATCACCTTACAAATATAGATTTATTTCGTCTTCAAGTCATTGTTCCACTACTAAATTGTCTATTCTACTTACTAGTACACTTGGTACAATCAAAAACCTGATAATAAATTGTTCAAATAAGGCCTTTGAAAATAGTGGAATTAACTACTTTTGGAGTGTCAAAAACTCGTTGGAAGTACTTGATAAATTGCATGCATATATTGGTGATTTTGAATCTGTTCAAAGTTTTGATTTTTCTACCCTATATACCACTTTGCCTCATATTCTTATTAAGAAAAAATTCACACACCTAATTAAATGAGAATTTAAAAAGTCGGAATGCGAATACATATGTTCAAACTCTTTTAGGTCATTTTTTAGTAGCAACAATCAAAAGAGCTATGTCAATTTTGACATGCTTTGATACTATATCTGCCCTTGAATTTTTACTTGATAACATTTTTGTTCGCTTTGGAGATTCCGTATATCGTCAAGTTATCGGAATTAAAATGGGGACTAACTGTGCACCACTTATTGCGGACCTGTTTTTGTATTGTTATGAGTTACAATTTATGACTAAAATCAGCAAACACCCATCGAAACAACATCTGATACAAATATTTAACAATACTTTTAGATATTTGGATGATATATTGGCTCTCAATAATGACGACTTCAGTATGTATACTAAAGAAATGTATCATGTTGAACTTACTTTAGATAAAGCTAATACCAACAATGACCACTGTCCTTTCCTCGATCTTGATATCTATATCATTAACGGGAAGTTTAATACCAAAATTTATGATAAAAGAGATGATTTTTCATTTCCTATCGTTAATTATCCATCCATTTTTAGATGGTGACGTTCCCTTGTCACCATCTTATGGTGTTTATATATCTCAACTTGTACGATTCGCTCGTGTATGTAACAACGTATTAGATTTTAGCGAGAGAAATTTATGTATTACTAAAAAAATATTACACCAGGGTTTTCAATATCATAAACTAGTCAAAACATTTACTAAATTTTATCATCGGTATTAGGACATCATTCGTAAATATAACTCAACATGCAGACATCTTATACGTTCGGGTATTTCACATCCAATCTTTTATGGTAATATTCTTTACAAAGCACAAAAATGTCAGTATTCACCTCAAAAGCTAACAAAACCTTTAAACAGACTTTTGTTCTGTTGTCAGGTCATTAAAGATTGCATATTTTGGCTTTAATATTGATTCACTTATAGGGTCTTTGCATCGGAATTAAACATATTTATTCTAAAACCAGTTGTTGGCATGACACGGGTTATGTTCTTCTCATATATTTTATGATGGTATGTTACTAAACCCCTAACAGGAGGGATTGTGCCTGATATTCATATGATGAAGACATAATCTATCAATCAGTTTAATTGAGGTCTGGAGCTGGCATGTCAGTAACTGCTAGTAGTCTGTTGTTATTTATGTATTATTGTCATTTTGTTTATTTTCTTTCGTTTCCTATTCTGATCTCGGACTCGGACTTCTCTTAAACTGAGTTTTACTGTGCGTACTGTTGTACGTTTGTTTTTTCTACATTGGCTAGAGGTATAGGGGGAGGGTTGAGATCTCAAAAAACATGTTTAACCCCGCCGCATTTTTGCGCCTGTCCGAAGTCAGGAGCCTCTGGCCTTTGTTAGTCTTGTATCATTTTTAATTTTAGTTCCTTGTGTATAATTTGGAGTTTAGTATGACGTCCATTATCACTGAACTAGTATACATATTTGTTTAGGGGCCAGGTGTAGGACGCCTTCGGGTGCGGGAGTTTCTCGCTGCATTGAAGACCCATTGGTGGCCTTCGGCTGTTGTCTGCTCTATGGTCGGGTTGTTGTCTCTTGACACATTCCCCATTTCCATTCTCAATTTTATTTCAATATTGTATGAATCGCTTTGTTTTGATAGACACCTTTCTCAAATACTATGCAAAGCAAAATAAAGAATACTATAGGTTTGCAATGCTTAAACGTAAAACCTTGACAGATATGCTGAGTTCTTAAATTTAGGTAAAATAAAAGTGTAAATATGTCAAGGTACAACCACTGATAGGAATGTTTCCTCATATACTACATCAACAATGTACTAGTAATGAATAATAAGATGTAGAGATGTGATGTTTAAAACAATGCAAGAGCAACCAAACATGATTAAATAAAATGACATTAACAAGCCACAGAAGGATTTAAAACCTCGCGTATCTATTATAAGTACAAACAGTCATAATTTACTGAATATATAGATTAAAACCATTAGCGTTACCAGTTTAACTGCACTAGATGCGCATTTCGACAATTAATGTCTCGTCAATGTTGCTCGAGGCCAGCAAAAATCCAAAATCTTATTCAAACGTTGAAGGGCTGATCAAACCTAAAAGGACCTAAAGTATAGCCAAATCCGGACAAGAAACCAGAGCTTTGCATGAGGGAGATTGAAAATGATTTTAAAATTTTACAACAGCAAAATATATGCGATGACAACACCGAAACAGTGACTGCTTTATGAATATTGTGTGGTTTGAAGTTCATACAAAATATACAAATATTTTTTTATAAAAAGTACGTTAAGGGAAACAACAGATAACTTCTATAATGAAAAAGAAAACCCGCATAGTTCTAATCAGGTGTTAACGATTTGAAGTCAGTCCTGTCCTCAAATTTATGTTTTTTTTAAATTTGCTTGGTTAAATGTAGCATTTTCTTCAATAAAGTAACGCTGTAATTGTAACATGTAAATATAAGTCCTTTTAGTTGAGCATATAGGTCTTAAAAAGTAAAATAACAAAAATACCGAACTCCAAGGAAATTTCAAAACGGAAAGTCAAATGATCTAACACATCAAACGAATGGAAAACAACTGTCATATTCCTGACTTGGTACAAGCATTTCCTTATGTAGAATATGGCGGATTAAACCTGGTTTTATAGCTAGCTTAACCTCTCACTTGTATGACAGTCGCATAGAATTCCATTATATTGACAACATTGTGTGGTATAAACAAACAGACATAATAGGTAAAAATGTCAAAAATAGGGGTACAGAAGTCAAAATTGTGTTATAATCTTAATCGCTATAGAAACAAACAACTATGTCAACAAAGAAAAACAAAATGGCATATAGACACTCTATAGACAAAGAACAAAAGCAAAAATGAAAGACAAGAATACAAAAAATGAACATAGCACAATAACACAATGGCGGGATGTTTAACTGAGCCACGCCAAAAATGGACTAAACAGTAAAGGTTCAAAATATAGAAAGACAAATAACAAGAACACTTAAATGACACACAATTCGGTACAGAGGGAACATTATATTTATATTTTACTTTGTACTTTATCGGGAAAGTGAATATGTCATTATGTTTTACTATACTGCACTATGAACTACAAAAATTTATTTTGTTAGATTTATTTGTATGTCTGATTATATTATTTTAGTCGGTTGTGTATATCTTTGATGTTTGTTACAAAATTTTGGCGGTTGGATCCCAATTATTGCCATGTTAACCAATTATTGCTGTTTAATGTCTGTTTTGGTTGCTCAAAGAATGTTGTAAATATAACGGAACTATAAAGAAATGTCTTACAAGTGGGAGGTTTAGCTAGCTATAAAACCAGGTTTAACATACCATTTTCTTCGAAAAATGCCGGTACTAAGTCAGGAATATAACAGTTGTTTTCTAGTCATTCCATTAGTTGATATCGTCCAGCGTTTGGTATTTTTTAGGTTGTATGGCCTTCCTGAAATTCGAATTACCTTTTATTTTGGTATTTCTGTCTATACATCGATTTGATCCAATTTAGAATTGTTTGAAAAGAAGAGGAAGAAAAATCTTTAGGTTTAGTCAATAACACTTGTCAAAGAATAGACAGCACCATGACAAAAAGACAAAATAAACCGAAAAGAAAAACGACAATTCATCAAACACTGCAAAGAAAGTCTTATTTTGATCAATACGCATCTGACAATGAATTCCGGTGCTATGGAAAAGTATGCAATTCCTACTTCACTAGTGTCACTGTCATGTTGCACATTACAAGAAACATCCCGGTTATAGGTCGCTGTCGATGCTGCCATAAATGAGGAAACACATGACGGGACTATCTTTACAATGAGGTCATCTGTGACACAGATATTTCATAATTGTCATCCAAATCATGTAAACCTCCGTAAAACATTAAGAATAGACGACTTACTTTGTTTAAACACGATGTTGAAAGGTTTAGTTTATGATTAATGTTTTAATGAAATCAAGTTTAAATTTATTTTACAGCTTGATGAATTCAGAGCTTTAGGGAAAAAACTTGGATCAGAGGACTTGATTAACAACTATAGGAATCCTCAGCCACTAAATCATAGGGTCGTAACCACAAACTGCATTGAATCCTTCCCATCTGTTTGTGCCGATCGGGGTAAGACTGGAAGAAAGCGACATCGTTGCGTAGATTATGTAAAAATCTACATAAAGAAAATTTTCTCGATTTTCAGACGTATTTTCCATCGCCGGGATGATGATTAATTTGTTCAAATGATATATGTTTCATAAAAACCTTATAAATGTGTCATAGAATACATGTAAATGTGAATTTACTATTGATTTCTTTTTTAACAAATAAACGCATTAAACAAAATTTTCAATAGACAGTTTTTTAAAACACTTCCGGATAACATAATATCATTTCCGATATTGGTCGATTGTTTTACATGCATTGTCATTGCTTCCGTTTGTTTTTGTGAGGAGTTTAGGTTTAGCTAGTATTTGTCATTTGTTGGTTGTTGCGATCTTGACAAGTGCTTACACATGGTTTCTTCTCATTATTGAAGGCCGTTCGGTTTCCTGTAATATTTCCCCTTAATTCAACACAGGATAATTGTTTCATTGGTTATCATACAACATCTCCATATTGTTCTTATGTATAATATATAAATAACACATAGCTGAGAGGGTGATAGAGCAGATTGTTACCCCGAGAAAATATTGTCAATCGAGGGGTACCAATCTGCTCTATTTTGACAGTCAAATAATAAAATTTGAGCCAAAACGTAGAAATTAAGCATTGTATTTAATTACTTGATGTAAATTCAATTCATTGTTCTATAAATTATCGATTTTTGATTGGTCTAGACGAGAGGGTGACATTCAAAAAAATTGTCACCCACTCAGCCATGTGATAGAGTAAATTAACACCCTCGTATTAGCCAATCAAAATATGGCATTTTAACGTGAAGTATAATAAATTAAATTGTCACTATTTATGGGAAGATATCATCGATTTTTTTAATTATTATTCATTTATTGATGTTATATTAATTTTGTCTTGAAAATTCATTCAAAAAATCATACTCTTTAGTGCTATTTTACAAGCATTAGTCAACTTCCGGGCTTCATGGCTCCAAATCACGGCTTATTGGCTTCAATTTCTTTGTTGTCATTTGTGTACTGTTTGTTTTTTCGTCGTTTTCCGTTTTTTGCCATGGCATTGTTAATGTGTTTTCGACCTATGGGTTTGAATATCTCTTTGGTATCTTTCCGCCTCTCATTTAGCTAGCTATTAACCCACCATTTTCTTCGGAATAAACCTGAACCAAGTAAAGAATACGAAAGCTGCTTTCCAATCGTTCTGTTTGTTGGTTTATTCGAGCGTCTGGTTTTGTAAGTATGGACTCCTCCTTTTTGAATTTACCTAGGAGTTCAGTAAATTTGTTTTTCAATTGTTTATGAACCGATTGAAATTGAATCTACCTTTGTTTATTATGCATTTTTGTGTATCTATCTTGGATTATTTTGCTGTAAATAAAATTCATTTTGCTAACCTTTTATGTTTGCAACAATGAAGAACTTTAGGTGAATCAATCTTATTTAATGATTTGACTTGGTAATACGTGTAAAAATATCAGATTTGACTTTGCCTGCCTTATATGAAAAATAGCAGCAGAAGTTTTGCAAGCGGTGTTGTTCGATCTCTAATTACATGTATATATATATAAATACGAAGATGTGGTCTGGTTGTCAATGAGACAACTCTGCACCAGAGACCAAATGACATTGAAGTTAACAACTATAGGTCACCGTACGGCCTCTAACAATGAGCAAAATCCATACCGCATAGTCAGCTATAAAAATCACAAATGTCCCGAAATGACAAATGTAAAACCATTTCAAACGAGAAAACTAACGGCCTGATTTATCAACAAAACAATGAACGAAAAACAATTATGATGCGGTGTTAAACATGTTTGCGAGCGCCGAACCCTCCCCCAACCTGGGAGAGTGGTTTAACAGTAAAATTTATGAACAAACTATAAAAAAAAACAGTTGATCGATATAAAGCAGACAAAAAACACAGACACAGACCGGACGTGGCAGGGTTTTTATTCATCCCCACAAAAAAAACCCGACACTAAATATAGATATGAGAGTACTCACAGTTACTGACAGCTAGTTCAAAGCCAATAATAACTAAAACATAAATCATGTTTCTAAGACTACAATATCAATCAGTACACATCCAACATCCAAATGGATTTAGTGTAAAGACGTAATTGATAGTCAGAGAAAAACATGACATAGTGCAATGCCAAAATACAGATATCAACAGATTGTATGTACATATGTATATGTATATAAAAAAAACATTTGTTTGGTTTTAATTAAATTTAATCAATATTTATACCATTAAAAACAATATTCAAAGATCTTATTACAATGTTAAATTGTTAACCTGCTAGAACAAGTTTATTTAACGGATCGATAAGTTTACCAGGATCGTAATTGAATTTCTGGGCTCGGTAAACAACATATCTGTGAAAATTAGAATGTGCTATAAAGTAATAAAATAAGTTTCCTACAGGTAGAGCCAAACGTCCAAACCAAATGTGTGTATCTATGGAAGAATTAAGTAAAATCTTTAAGTAATTTGTGGTAACGAAATCCCTGACTTAAAGTCATATGAAACTTCAAATTAAAAAAGAAAAGTTTGATATGTTTTATATACTTGAATGGCTAAGTTTTACTATAAAACAAGTGTACGTGAACTTTCTTCTCAAAGAAAATTCTTTATATTATCAAATATTTCATAAATGTGCTGCTATTGAATTATTGTCTTCCCGTACACGAATTCGCCGATATATTTCCGTATGCATTGACCTTAACTACGAGACCTCTCGTTAGAACTTCAATCACCGCAAGCGCAAGTGCGAGGGAAAAGCGATACGAAAGAATGACAACAAATCATTTAACAACTGTTAAGGAAAAGTTTAATTAACATATGGAAATGCACGGAAAATATGAAACAAAATATGGCTCTATTAATTCACTTATTTGTCTCGTGCTGTTGATTGTTTATCAATGTCACGATCCGGTAAACTTCAGCAACAAACTCGAAACTTAATTATCTTGCGATCAACAATGACTGAATGAAATATTATTTGTCGATAATACGTTATAGATTCACAATACATATAAAATAAAACGTGCATACAGGACTTAGTTTAGTATATATGCATACATTGGTTCAATAATTTCGATGACATTAAAATTACAAGAAACGCGTTTCGTATGACATAGATGATTTACCAGTAGTACATAGATTACTTTCATTGAAATCCAAAACGTCACTTCATACAAGAGCAGAGCGAACGAGTTGTGATATATAAACAACGTAAGATGGTGCCAAAGGAACATCACCATCTTAAAAAGAAAAATTAGCAATAGGGAAAGAAAAATCGTCCCTTTTTGTCGTAAATTTTGATGTAGAACTTCCTGTGTAAAACTGCAATATCTTAATCTAGGAGAGGACAGTAATAAACGTTTATTTTTTATTTATTTAAAGTAATTTCCTTTGGGTAAATGTCGGCAGTATATTTAGAAAATTCTTCATTATTTAACAAAAAATTACCATCAAAATAACGATAACTGTTGTTGAATTTATCAATTAAATGCAATTTAGACGGGTCTTTACTGAGTTTTGTTTTAATAGTCTAGTCAATTTAGTGAACAACCTGCAACTAATTGCAACACAAAGTTTTTCTCTGAAAAACAAGTCTGTTACTATCTATGAATAACATACTAAAACTATACAAAAATATGTTTTGCGGAAAGTGGTGTAATTTATAAAAATGTTTAGTAGTAAAAGTAAGGTTATATGAGTTGCTTCCCCTTATTTCCCAAAGTTGAAAAAAATTAAATTATACAAAAAATGTTCTGTAGTTTTTAAAACAGTTGAAATAATACAATACAATACATAATTATTTCAATTTAAAAGAATAATATTACAAATGAATCACTTTCCTGTCTCAAAATTTGTATATTTGAATAAGGATATAGACCGAGATTGTGTTCTGCTATTTTACAATCCAAGAATCTAACTCCCCAAAATAGTGTTGGTAAGTAACCTATAAATGGAAAACTGTGCTGAATTAGAGTTACCAACTTAGTCACATTCTTACTTGGTATTTGAAAGAATTCTGCCCCTGTATTAAAGGCACAGACAGTTAATTTTTTGTTGGGGGAGGGGTTCCAGAAAGTCATGTTTTGTTCTTTATAAAAAAAATGTTATTGCAAGATTCAAAGTCTTTAATGTATTTTTTTCCCCACAACTTTAGAAAGAAAACAATATATTTTTTTTTCATTTACCTTCTGGAATAAACATGTTAAGATTTAGAATTCAACAATGTTTCATAAAAAAATAAGAATGATGAGTGTTAAATGATTTTATGTTAAATATTTTTTCACAAATGAAAATTTCAGGCTCCTCGAAGCAAATAGCTACTCATGTAATTTGCGACGATCTCAGTACTCACACACCATATAAATAAAGCTTTGACTGTAACACTGAATCCACGTTTCACTTTGGTTACTAATCGGATGTGTACTTATTTATATTTTAGTCGGTGCCAACAGTATTTATTCATCAACTGTAATTACTAAGCTTTGAACTAGCTATGAGAACTCAGTGTCTTTTTGTTAATTGGTCATATACTCCGTGCTGATCTTTTTGAGTTGAGCCCTTTCCAACTGGTTTTTCCAATTTGTTCTTACGTTGTTTGCTATTTAAATAAAATTGAGAATGGAAATGGGGAATACTGTATGTCAAAGAGACAACAACCCGACCAGATCAAGAGCAGATAACAGCTGAAGGCCACAAATGGGTCTTCAACGAAACGAGAAAATCCCGCACCAGGAGGTGGTCCTCAGCCGGCCTCTAAATAAAAACTGTTCCTGATTATTGGAAGGTTGAGTGCTCGCAAACAGGGTTAACCCTACACACTATGAATATGATGATCACAAGTCAGTGGCCCTTTATTACTTGGTTGTTATTGTTTGCTGTCTGTCATATTTGTTTTTCCGTTTATTGTTTTAACATTAATCAGGCCTTTGAGTTTCTCGTTTGACTTGTTTTATATTTTGACGATGAGCTATAGTTGTTTACATCCACACCCACATCATTGATATCTCTTGTGGAAAGTTTTCTCATTGGTAATCATACAACATATTCTTATGTTTTTAAAGTGGGGAGATTTTATAATAAGTGGTGGTTTCATTGGCAAGCAATCAAACTTACTATCAAGAGATCACTGATAGAGTTTAGTGGACCATACAACTTAAACATTTATATTCTTTGGC